GCATCATTCAACAGTTTTTCCTAAGTGTAATTTCCATGTGGGCAGGAAATAGCTCAAATGCTAACCTATGCTGAGTATTACTCACCTGGGTTTCAATTGTACTAAACATGATCTCATGTAGGTTGAGGAGCTGCTCTGCTTATTTCTTTCACGAGCTCTAGGGGAGCAGGGGGCCCCAGAGTCTCTGCATGTCTCATCCTGCCCTTCTCACACGCTTGGCCAGAGGCTCAGCTGTGAGAAGCTCTCACAGAAGCCTGTGAAGCGTGACTACTAACTACTAGAGGCCTGTCTCACTCCATCGAAGTGTCATGCTGAGCAATCACAATGAACCTCTCTTCATTTGTCAGCATTTGGAGATTTTTATTTACTGGGGATTCACAAGAAGTCACCACCATGGGAAAGTGTCTTGGGGCTAAAGCAAAAGTAGTTTACAAAACCTTGTTGTTATTTGAAATTATTTCAGATGCATCATTTTCCTGCATGCAGACTTCTTCAGGCAGCTCAGTATAGGGTCCAAGAAGGCAGACCTGTAGCTGGACGCGGTGGCTCACGCCTGTAATCCCGGCACTTTGGGAGGCCGAGGTGGGCGGATCACAAGGTCAGGAGATTGAGGCCACCCTGGCTAATGCGGTCAAACCCTGTCTCTACTAAAAATACAAAAAATTAGCTGGGCGTGGTGGCAGGTGCCTGTAGTCCCAGCTACTCAGGAGGCTGAGGCAGGAGAATGGCGTGAACCCGGGAGGCAGAGTTTGCAGTGAGCCGAGATTGTGCCACTGTACTCCAGCCTGGGGGACAACGAGGGAAACCCCATCCAAAAAAAAAAAAAAAAAAGGAAGGCAGACCTGTATTTGCAGTATAACTCTGCTACCTCTTCTCTATGTCTCAGTTCTTCTCCACAAAATGAGAATAACAGCAGCAATTCCCATGTGTTTATGATGATGATTAACAGAGCCTGACATGTAAAAAGTATTCATAATCATTAAAACTATTTTTTTTTTTTTTGAGATGGAGTTTCGCTCTGTCGCCCAGGCTGGAGTGTAGTGGTACAATCTCGGCTCACTGCAACCTCCGCCTCCTGGGTTCAAGCAATTCTCTGCCTCAGCCTCCCGAGTAGCTGAGATTACAGGCACCCACCACCATATCCGGCTATTTTGTTTTTTTATTTTTAGTAGAGATGGGGTTTCATTATGTTGGCCAGGCTGGTCTTGAACTCCACCTCGGCCTCCCAAAGTGCTGGGATTATAGGCATGAGACAGCACTCCCAGTCAAACATATTTTTTTTAGAGTTGGGGTCTTGCTATGTTGTCCAGGCTGGTCTCAAACTCCTAGCCTCAAGCAATCCTCCCACCCCTGCCTCCTAAAGTGTTGGGATTACAGGTGTGAGCCACTGTGCCTGGCCACCATTACCGATTATTATTATCATTATCTTATTTTGTCCATAGCATCACCATTCTCTAGGTTCCCTAAGCTAGAAAACTTGGAGCTGCCAGACCTTTCCTTCATACCTGGGAAGGACAGTCCCTGCCTCGTATCTTGGGGGGTCTGCCTTCAAAATGTGTCTATTTCTGCTTCCATGGCCAGCTTCAGCTCTTCCTTCTCCTTTAACTACCAAGTCCCATCTGTCCCCAGGCCCAGTCAATGACCCATCACACACTGTCTATCATGTTCCTCTCCACTGCTATGCCTCTGTGAAGTCCTCCCCAACTTCCTATCCCAGCTGTTACTTGTTCCTTTATTTCATATACATATTTGTCTTATGGTTGCTATCCTGCTATCTTTAAACACTTCACACACCTATCTCTGTCTTCTTCAGTAGACTGCAAGCTCCTTGAAGATAATTCATCCAGCCTTATTCATCTTCTATTCCTAGTACCCAGCAAAAAGCCTCAAATCAGGAAGGTGTTGGTGAATATCCGTTGTTATTTTTTTCTTATTCCAATCCCATCACCTGTGTCTGGGTCATTGGTAGCAGTCTCCTGTCTGGCCTCCTGGGCTGTGTCCTCAATAGGCTCCACCCTCACTCTCTCTGAAAGTATTTCATGTCACTTCGTCGCTTAAGCTGCCTGATGACTGCCTTCTGAACGCCATCTTGTTTAAATTTATCAGCTTAGTTTTCAAAGTTCCCTACTGCAAAACAAAGCAGCAAACATAAGAAGTCGTGTTTTCTCACTTCTGCCTGCCAGCAACATTTCACAATGCCCCTGACTCTTACCACGGGCAGCTCTTTCGCTCTTTGAAAAGAAGCTTTGAAGGACAGGACAGAGTACACGCCCCTCTCCCTCTTTACCCCGTCTCCTGCCTGAGTCGCTACATTCCTTAAAAGATAAATGACCCGAGTTTTGGCCTTTTCCTACATGTAAGATAACATCTGATGGGGTTAGCGATGATGCCTCTGTAATCTATAATCAGAATTACTCTCACACCCAAACCCTGATGTGAGTCTGCTTTCATGTGACTTCTAAGTAAGTTCAGGGTGATTTTGCACATGCTGAACCCATTTCCCCCAAACAGAAAATCACTCTTGCAAATGTATCCTTCTATCTTCTCTCTTGCTTCCTACCTAAACTGGAATATTCTCCTTTTCCCCTCCTTCATTGAAATCCCTCTGTCTCATTCAAGAATCCTTCTTTCATTGCCAGAGACTTCATGGGTATTTTTTAACTTATTTTTCATTTGTTGAGACGGAGTCTCTCTCTGTCACCCAGGCTGGAGCGCAATGGTGCGATCTCGGCTCACTGCAACCTCTGACTCCCTGGTTCAAGCAATTCTCCTGCCTCAGCCTCCCAAGTAGGTGGGATTACAGGCATGAGCCACCACGCCCAGCTAATTTTTTTTATTTGTAGTAGAGATGGGGTTTCACTGTGTTAGCCAGGATTGTCTCGATCTCCTGACCTCGTGATCCACCTGCCTTGGCCTCCCAAAGTGCTGGGATTAGAGGTGTGAGCCACCGCACTCGGCCATGGGTCTTTCTCAGACTTTAACTTTGTGTGCCAAATAACTCAGCCTCGGTATATGGTCCTGTGCAGCAGTCATTCTCCTGACTATGAAGTGATACTCTGGGAGGGCAGTCATTAGCTAAGAGGCTTTTGGTTGCAAGTAAGAAACAGCCCAATTCAAAGTGGCATAATCAATTAGGGGAATTATTGGCTCACACAGCTGAGGCCTAGAGTAGCAGCACTGCCTGCAGATAGGACTCAATACTGTCACCAAGAACCTATTTTCAGCTGGATGTGGGGGTACACGTCTGTAGTCCGAGCTCCTCGGAAGACTGAGGAAAAAGGATCCATTGAGTCCAGGAGTTTGAGGCCAGCCTGGGCAACCCTGTTTCAAAACCAACCAACCAACCAACCAACCAACCCTCTATTTCCTTTGGTCTATCCTCTCTTTCTCTGGGAATAGCTTCAGTCTCTCCAAAAGGCTGTCAGAAGCTCTCAGAACTATCAGCTTTCTCCTTCAGGCATAGGAAGAAAGAGAAAGCCTATATCCCAGGATTCTCAACCGAAGTCTCCAGATTCCTGCTGATTGGAGAGGTTCAGGAACACGCCCCTGCCTAACCAACCCCTGGGGCCAGACGGGGATGGAAGGGGTGACTGACACCACTCTACTCCTGGAGGTGGTACCCTGGCCTCCCTATTCCCATGGATCTGCCAACTGTAACAGAACCTGGTAGAAGCGGGGTATGGATGTGGGGGACACCTCCAAACTTGCCTGCATACCAGGAACATAACCAGTGCACAGTGACTGTCAGAGGTCTCCAAATACGAGCCCCTCCCATGAGCGGAATCTGGACTTCTGTTCCTTTGTTGCCAGTGTCCACGCCGCTGCCTCCAAATGGTCACAACACCTCTGCTCCTCAAAGGAGTCCTGCCTGTTATAGACAAACAGGCCCACACCTTTGGTTATTTTGGTTTAGACTAGGGACAAATTCTACCCTTGAGTCCCCAAGCCACCAGTGGCTCCCCCACCCCTGCCTCTAGTGTGTACAGGGAGGAGGCCTTCAGTTTCAGTGGAGGTGGCTCCTCCCTCATAGGAGTCCCCTGGGATCCTTGAGGGCTTCCCACCACCACTGACTCTTCTAGCAGTGGGGCAGCCTGAGTTTTGGAGAACTGAGGCTACGCTGGCCTTTCTCCCTCCCTCCTCCTCCTCTTCTCTCCAGAGGGAAACCTGGAGAACACCCCCTCCCCCATCATTTCCTGCCCCACCCCTGCCTCCAAAGGCTTCCTGTTGGCCTCTCTGCATGCTCAGTGCACTCACTGGCCACGGACGACAGCGTCCCCAGGCTGCACCCACAGCAACCGGCATGGCAACCAGGAGTCGGTTGTGCTGAGGCCCTGAGCCCCAACTGTCAGAAGGGGCCTGAGGCTGAGGTGGAGGCTGGGAGTTTGGGGCTGTGGGTAAGTCCTTTTGGGGTCAGACCTGTGGACTTAGCCAGGGACGGATCCTCACAGGGCTCTGGTGGGCTGCGGCGGTGCGGCTTGATCTTGGGCCCTGGTGGCAGCTGTCTCCTCTGAACGGAGCTAGAAAGAGGATAGATGGCCCTGAGAGCTCAGCTCACCTGGGGCCAGAACTAGCCTTGTAGGTGGCCGGGGAGGAGGAAGGAGGAAAAATACTAATGTAAATTGAGCTGCTGAATACGCCAGGTGCCTTCCCTGAATTCTATCCCATGAATTCTATCCTGAGTGTAACTGGAGGGCAGAGGTTAAGTGAGCACACAGCCAGCAGGTTGTGAGGGAGGATTTAAAGCTGGGCTGCTCTAAACTCACAGTTCTTGCTCTTCCAATCCCTTCCCTGTTTCCTGAGTGGAGGTTCCCAAAGCAGGTGAATCAAGGAGGAAACTGTGAGAGTTTGTGGGAGCAGGTGGGGCCGTGCATGGACTCAACTGTCCCCAGAGTCAGCTAACTGCAGAGCTGAGCCCTGCCTCGCCCAGGCGGCCACCGCTGGCTTTAAGCTGCAGCTCAGGGAGTGGTGGTGCCTATTCTCAGGTGGACCCTCTGAAGGCCATGGAATCCTCCACGGGGCCCAGGATGCCTTTGCTCAAATACTGCAGCGTGGCCACAAGCCTGAAGGCCCCTGGCTGGGACGGTGCTGCTCCACTGTGGGACCTTTCCTTCACCTAGCCCTTTGCCCTCCAAGCACCCTGGCTCACCGGGCACAAGCCCCTCGCAAGGTACCTGTCTCAGCCCCTCTGGAAGAAGTGGGTGCCCCTTTCTTTTTTCCTTTGTTCTTGGCTGTTGGTGGTAGACCTTGGTGGAGAGACTTTCTTCCTGAGAAGGCGGAAAGGGGTCTTCATTGTTTGGCTTATGATTGGTGTATCTGTGTGCGGTCTGTCATTCCAGCCTACACTGTGCTCCCAGAGCCCTCCAGGGTTGATCCGGCTTTAGCAGAGTTGCAGATGCCACAGTTGGCATGAGGGAGAGAAGGCAGTTAGGGATAGCCAGTTACCAAGTTTATAGCTCATTTTACCATCAACAATGAGACTTGGCTGGGTGTGGTGGCTCACGCCTGTAATCCTAGCACTTTGGAAGGCCGAGGCAAGTGGATCACTTGAGGTCAGGAGTTCGAGACCAGTCTGACCAACATGGCGAAACCCTGTCTACTAAAAATACAAAAAAAAACAATTGGCTGGGCATGGTGGCTTACGCCTGTAATCCGAGCACTTTGGGAGGCCAAGGCGAGTGGATCACCCAAGGTCAGGAGTTCGAGATCAGCCTGGCCAAGATGGTGAAACCTCGTCTCAATTAAATACATAAAAATTAGCCAGGCATGGTGGCAGGTGCCTGTAATCCCAGCTACTCAGGAGGCTGAGGCAGAGAATTGCTTGAACCCAGAAGGTGGAAAGGTTGCAGTGAGCTGAGATCGTGCCATTGCACTCCAGCCTGGGCAACAGAGTGAGACTCTGTCTCAAAGAAAAAAAAAAATTAGCTGGGCGTGGTGGTGCATGCCTGTATTCCCAGCTACTTGGGAGGCTGATGCAGGAGAATTGCTTGAACTCCGCAGGCAGAGGTTGCAGTGAGCCGAGACAGCGCCATTGCACTCGAGCCTAGGGAACAGAGCGAGACTCCATCTCAAACACAAAACAAAACCAAAAAAAAAAAAAAAAAAAAAATGAGACTTGCTGTGGCACCATAGGAGAAATCAGCTAAGGGGGGGGGTCTCCAGGTCCCTCTTCAGGTTCCCTCAGTACTCCTCCTTTGTCCAGGATTTTCCTAAATAGGATCCTCAGTCCGCTTTCTAAAGCGTGGATACAAGAGGCCAAAGGCACCACAGCCTATATGCACACATGGAGCGTGTCAGCTCCAGGGACTCGCATTCCTGCTGCCTGATCCATTGTGCCCATGTTAGGGACATGCCAGCTTGAATGATCCTTAATGGCTCCCTTTCGTGATTCACCCGGTGGACCATCCTGTTCAAAGCTAGAGTTAAGCATTGGACTTTAGATGCCAACAAGCACAGGAGGGAGGCTGAGGGGGACTGAGGGTAGCCCAGCATGGGCCTGCAGGAGCTCCTCAGCACGAACAGCCTGGGTGCTGTGACGGCATGTTGATGACAGCAGGAGGCAGGCAGGCCCCCTTTGTATTCAGCCTTGCCCACAAAGTAAAATGGCTTCTTCAAAAACCCAAACCCTGACTCAACAACTCCCCTAGACCAACTGGCCCTGACCACAACATTATCCGGAACTAGCATCTCCTTTTTCTGTCCCACAACCCCTTAGCTCCTCTGGGTTGTCCCTGCCCAAACACTTCCTCATCCCTCTGACCCCACAGCATCAAGTGGCATTACAATTTCACACCCTTGGTATTATTACCCAAGCTTCCACGCCTCATCCTGGAATCCCACACGCCACCTTAAGATTTACCTTCCTGGCACTATTTTTTTTTTTTTTTTTTTTTTTTGAGACAGGGTCTCACTGTGTTGCTCTGTCACTAGGCTGGAGTACAGTGGCGCAATCTTGGCTCACCACATCCTCCGCCTCCCGGGTTCAAGTGATTCTCCTGCCTCAGCCTCCTGAGTAGCTGAGATTACAGGCGCCCGCCACCATGCCCAGCTAATTTTTGTATTTTTAGTAGAGATGGGGTTTCACCATATTGTCCAGATGGTCTTGATCTCTTGACCCCATGATCCACCCACCTCGGCCTCCCAAAGTGCTGGGATTACAGGCGTGAGCCACTGCGCCTGGCCCCTGGCGCTCTTTTCTTTTTTTGATAGGGGGTCTCACCTTGTCACCCAGGCTGGAGTGCAGTAGTGTCATTTCAGCCCACTGCAATCTCTACCTCCCAGGTTCAAGCAATCCTCCTACCTCAGCCTCCTGAGTAGCTGGGACCACAGGCTCATACTACCACACCCAGCTAATTTTTTTGTATTTTTGGTAGAGATGGGGTTTCACCATCTTGCCCAGTCTGGTCTTGAATTCCTGAGCTCAAGTGATCCATCCGCATCAGCCTCCCAAAGTGCTAGGATTACAGGCGAGAGCCACACTTTTCCAGTCTGTTGTCTAGTGTAGGAACAAGCATTAATTAACTTGAATGTATCAAGGCAAATTACCTTTTGGTTGCCTTGAACCAACTCCCAATCCACCAAGGATGGTTCCCTTCACTGTCGTCTCCTACTGCCCCTCCCGGAGGTTTATCTTATCCTTCTGGAAGTCATAGATTGCCACTTTCCATGTGGATTTCTGTTCCACATGCCTTGTGTGCTGTGGTGCACCTCAGATGTACCTGAGAAACATGCTTCTTGATGTGTTTAGGGCTTGTTACTCTCTATCCACTAATTCCATTTGCTTTTTTCCAGGCACACCTCTTCTTGCCCGTGTCTCCACATTGCCGACCCAGCATGGCAAGGGCCTGGCTGGCTGGGAAGAGCTGGAGATGCTGCCAACACATGGGTCCTGGCAAGAAGGGAAGCAGATGGCTTTTACTACTGGGCTTAAATAAAGGCTGCTCCTGAGGCAAGTCCCTGACCCCCAGTATCTCCCTGGCATGCTCCTCTGGGTGGCCCTGTCATACCTGACATGCCTTAGCTGTGTGCGTCTAGCAGGCTGGTTTTTTGGATAAGCACAGCTCTCTCATGGCCATGTTGTAGCAGTGAACATGTAATACCACTGAGTGCGTTAGTTTGCTAGGGCTACCTAACAAAGTGCCACAAACAGAGTGGCTTAAACCACAGAAATGTGTCATCTCCCATTTCTGGAGGCTGGAAGTCCAGGGCTTGGCAAGGTTGGTTCCTTCTGAGAGCTGTGAGGAAGAATCATTCCCATGCGCCGCTTCTGGCTTCTCATGGCTTGCTGGCAGGCTTTGGTGCTCCTCAGCTTATAGAGGCATCACCTTGATCTCTGCCTTTACCTTTGCGGGGCTTTCTCCCTGAGTGTGTGTCTGCCCACATTTCCCCCTTTATAAGGACATCAATTACACTGGATTAGGGACCTGCCATATTCAGTCCTCATCTTAATTACATTTGCAATGACCCTATTCCCAAATAAGGTCACATTCTGGGGTCTAGGACTTCAACATATGAATTTGGCAGGGGGCAAGGCATGGTGGCTCACGCCTGTAATCCCAGCGCTTTGAGAGGTGGTGGTGGGACGATTGCTTGAGGCCAGGAGTTCAAGACTGGGCAATATAGCGAGACCCTGTCTCTACAAAAAATTTAAAAATTAACAAGGCATGGTGGCACATGGCTGTAGTCCCAGCCACTTGGGAGGCTGAGGCAGGAGGATCACTTGAGCTCCAAACTGATGGCACCACTGCACTCCAGCCTGTGGGAGGAGGGTGGAGGTGGGGCACGGGACACAATTCAATGCATAACAGAGAAGAAAATGTACCTTAAAAGTACTTTGTTGAGGAAAATTCCGTGTGTTGAATGAATACCAGCCTAAGGGAAAGGAACGAGATGTGTTTGCTCACATGCATGGGTGTGTGCTGGTACACAGAGAAGCATACTCCTGCCATGCTGGGGGCCAGGCCTGGCCTGTACTTCAGTGGCTACTCACTTCTTTTTTTTTTTTCTTTTTTCTTTTTTTCAGAGTCAGACTTACTTTGTGAATGTAGATTTATGAAGGGAAGACTAGTGTAAATTCTTTAAAAATATGAATTTCAGAATTTCCAATCAAAAGTCAGTTTTTGGCCTGGTGTGGTAGCTCATGCCTGTAATCCCAGCACTTTGGGAAGCCAAGAAGGGTGGATTACCTGAGGTCAGAAGTACGAGACCAGCCTAGCCAATGTGGTGAAACTCGTCTCTACTAAATATACAAAAATTAGCCAAGCAAGGTGGTGGGCTCCTGTAGTCCCAGCTGCTTGGGAACCTGAGGCAAGAGAATCGCTTGAACCTAGGAGGCGGAGGTTGCAGTAAGCCAAGATCATGCCATTGCACTCTAGCCTGGGTGATGAGCGAAACTCCATCGGGGGGGAAAAAAAAGGTCAATTTTCAAGTAATATGTGAATTAAAATGAAATTCTAGCAAAACTTTGCTCGAATATAGTTTCTGTCCAGTGATTTGGTAAAAATAATTTATAACCAGTTTATTTCTCTTCTAAATCAGAGTACTTGAAACAGCCTGTACTTTTAAGTAGCTGCATCACTGTTCTCTCACTTTTGCTATTCACTTGCTTAGCTAACCCTTTCCTCGTCGACTATAAGGGCGGTGCTGAGGGCAGCTCTGTGGCCACAATCCCTCCTCGCCTACATGAGCCTCACAGGTGAACAACCATCCATCCCTGGTTGGTCTTGGACACGGGAGTGATGCTTCTTGGGGGTGCTGGAAGGAGGGGATTGCACTGAGAAAAGGTCCAGGGAGGACCCAGGTTACTCCTGGCAATTGCAGGTCAAAAATTTGGTAGGAGGAAAGAAAACCAGGCAAAGGAAGGGAATGGAAAGGGAGAGCCAAGAAGTGTTGCCCGAGGAAGAAAGGGATTCAGGGAAGCCCAACCGTGCCACACAGCCTGCCTATCTCAGCTATGACTGGCTTGAAAGAGCATGTGCCTCATCCCTTCTTTAGGTGCCTGTCACTGTTTGGAAGGCAGTCCCTGGGCCTGGTTTAGGGGCATTGTAGGGAACCTGGGTGCTCCCTCTTGTACTTTGTAATGCCAGTTCTTATTCTGAGTGTTTTCTTTCCCACAGCTGGAGAGACAGGGGGTCCTGCTTGTGGAATTTGAGGCTCCTCTTGTCACAGGCCCAAAGCTGCCAGCCCAGCAGCAGAGAGTGGTCTTAGAAGAGGATGTCATTCCTCTCTCACCATCTGTAGGATACTCACTGAGACCAGGGGACAAGGTGCTGGCACTTTGGCAGCCAGGACAACAGTAGTATGGTCCTGGCACTGTTCTTTTGGGCTTGGAGATGAGAGATCCCCGGAGAGGTAAGAGAAGCTGCTCTGACTCATCAGTCCCCAGAAGGAGCCAGGCTATAATCAGGCCAGATGAGAGAGCCAAGGGTGCGTCTACAGCTTAGGGGTTTCTAAGGCATTAAGAAGATAATTTTTACCCCCTTGCCTGCTGCTTAATCTTGAGGCAGCAACAGATGCCTCAAGATGCACACTGTATCTTTCAGATTATAAAAAAAAAAAAAAATTGTAATCAGGGTAAGTGGCCTAAAACTCTATGTCTATGTTGGTTAGCTAAACCATGGTTTAGCTACTCACGACCCAGCTCTCACCAGGTCCTCCAGGGACTGGACAGTCATCTTCTGCCGGGTCAGTCAGCACCACTGTAATTCAGAGAATGACAGAATGAGGCTTCTACTGAGAATGCATTTTGGTTTTGACAAGAAAAGTGAGCCCCTGCAGGCCACTGTAGTCCAGGAGGCAGGGAGGCTCAGGCAAGTCCTCGGGAAGTGGAGGTAAGTATGATGCAGGTGAAGGATGTTCCTGGCAGGCTCTCCACGGAGAGGTGCATGTGAGGAGCCAGGCAGCCAGAGCACAGGGGCCAGGCTGAAGCTCTGCCTTTGCCTGTGTGGATAGGAGAGGCTTTATCCCACGATTAGGAAGTGGAAGCTACTTGGGAGGCTGAGGCAGGAGGAGGGCTTGAGCCTGGGAGGTTGAGGCTGCAGTGAGCTATCACTGTGCCACTGCACTCCAGCCTGAGCCAGACCCTGTCTCAAAAAAAAAAAAAAGGTAATTGATAATTATAACAAAATTTTGCCATTTTTTGTTATGTAGCATCAAAGGAAGAAGAAATCACTGTTCATTTCTGGAATGGCAAAGCCGCTAAAGTGCCCCTAGGTGGGGTCCAGTCAGTGTCCCTGGCCATCTGGAAGAAGGCTGTGGAGAGGCTGCACAAGTCTTTCATCAGGGAGCACCCCAGGCCCCTTCACTGGTCCCATGCTGCTCTCTGCTGGGGCCAATCACTGGGCACATCACTAACGAGCTTCCTTCGGGCACTCCATTCCTGTGTCCTCTCTGCCACCCTCATGCCTGCTGCCAGCTGCTGTGCCAGGGCTGCCTCTGTGGCTGCCCCCCATGTGGCACCACTTGGTGGCCTCTAACCAGGACCTCAGAAGTCACAGCCAGAGAACTTCCAGAGTTGGAGCCCCCAGCACAGCTTTTGCCCCTGGAAGGTCCTAAAGAGGAAAAAGTAGCAATGCACGCTCCCCTGGCTGTTTCCTCCTCCTCCTCCTCCTGTGAACAAGACGATGTGGAGAATGATCTGGAGATGGGCCCTCCCCAGAGACTGATGGTAAACAGTGCAGTCAACACAGATCCCATCCTTCTTGAGACTCCTTTGAGGCAGAGTGGCCTCTGCCAGCCTGAGTGGAGGTATTGGAGGAGAAACGGGCCTGAGCCACGCCCTGGGAAGCCAGGTATGCCAGGGGAGTGGGCTTGCCTTCTAAGGCAGGGGCTGGGGCCCCGGCTCCCTTCCCTCCCACATGTCCCTTAGGAAGCTGATGCACGTGTCCACTCTGTTGGGACTACAGTAATCCTTGGGAGTCTGGTCATGCTGAAGGGGAGTCTGGTCATGCTGAAGAGGAGGCTGTGGGAAAAGGGAAATAGCAGGTTTCCATTTCAGCTATGAGGCCCACAGGAGCAGAAGGATGAACTGATCTTTGTGCTAAGGTTGCATCCCTATTTAATGCCTGCCTTTTTCTTTCTTCACTAGTCTCTACTGACAGGGCACTGCCATTGTCTGTTTTTAGCCCTCTCCTTTTTTCTTGGAGGCCTTGGTTTTTCTCTAGATGAACAGTACAAATGCCTCCTGGTGTTGATGAGAGTTGATGCACTGAAGCATAGAAACTGGTCTTAAGCATTGGTCATGAGGCCCCACTCTCCTGCTGGGCCCCTCAGTAAGTCAGCGGGGAGGACCTGCGCACTGTGATATGCTTCTTATCCCTCATGGCCAACAGGAAAGCCGTGTCCTGTTGCTGCTGGCAGTCTGCAGCCAGCCCCACACTGCATCACCTCCAGCTGAGAACTGTGTGGCGGGCCCTGCTAGGTTCCGGGAGCCCATTCTATCTAAATTCCCAGTGGAGCCCGGAAAGAGCAGAAGCCTGTCAGAGCTGTGTGAAGGAGGTGGCCCTTGACAAGATTCTGGGGGTCCTGGGGTCACTGAACATATCTGGGGCAGGGAGGCTGTGAGGTGAAGGAACACCATTGCTAAGGGCTTAGATCTCTAGGCACTGCCCACACTGGGACCCACTAGGGTTCCCTGGTTGAAACCATAGCCCTATTTCTAGCACAGTCACTGAGCCAGAAGGACTGCTTAGCCCATGAGAGTTTTTTGTTGTTGTTGTTTGTTTGTTTTTTTGAGACAGTCTCACTCTGTTGCCCAGGCAGGAGTGCAGTGGCATGATTTTGGCTCACTGCAACCTCTGCCTCCCAGGTTTCTCATGCCTCAGCCTCCCCAGTAGCTGGGATTATAGGTGCATGCCACCATGCCTGGCTAACTTTTGTATTTTTAGTGGAGATGGGGTTTCGCCATGTTGGCCAGGCAGGTCTCCAACCCCTGGCCCAAGTGATCTGCCTGCCTCAGCCTCCCAAAGTGCTGGGATTACAGGCATGAACCATCAAGCTGGCACCAATGAAGATTTCAATCTTGCCCCAGGGGTAACGACTTTATTAGTGTTTGGTTCCAGAAAGTTGAGAAATTGTTTGTAATGAGAAGCTTTCCTGGTGACTCCTCTGAACCCCTGGGCTTTGGGAGGGGAGGGGTATGTCTGCTGCACTTGAATTTTATATGAGGATTTTCCCCCTATATCTCAGAGACCCAGCTGTGCTCGTCCTCCACTCTCCAGGAGGAAACTTTATATTGAAAATATAAAATGGGGAGGTGGGTCCCAGGCTTCTGTGAAATGGGTTACTCCAATCTTGCAATGGCAAGCCTTGGCAGCAGCCACTCAGAAATGGTGATTTCACCGGGTGCAGTGGCTCACCCAGCACTTTGGGAGGCCAAAGCGGGGGCAGATCACTTGCAGTCAGGGGTTTGAGACTAGCCTGACCAACAAAGTGAAACCCCGTCTCTACTAAAAATACAAAAATTAGCCAGGCGCTGTGATGCACGTCTGTAATCCCAGCTAGTTGGGAGGCTGAGGTACCAGAATCAGTTGAACCCTGGAGGCAGAGGTTCCAGTGAGCCACTACATTCCAGCCTGGGTGACACAGTGAGACTCTGTCTCCAAAAAAAAAAAAAAAGAAAGAAAGAAATGCCAGTTTCTTTCTCCATTTGAAAGAAATGCAGCTATGGAGAATTTAGCATGCAAACACTAGAGTTTGGCACCATTTTCTTTATGTTATCACTTGTAGAGAGGGCATAAAGAAAATGGTACCAAACTCTAGCGTTTTCATGCTAAATTTTCCATAGCTCCCAATGCCTCTTGCTCCAGCAGAGCCTGGAGAAAGAAAAGCTGTACCTACCCAACAGAAAAGGGTCTGTGGGGAGCAACTGAGACAATACCAAGCCCAGCATAGGGGAGAGGGACAACCAGAGGGGCCATGGGGGCCAGAGATGCCCTAGGTACCACATCTGTGTTCCTATTGCTGTGGCTTGCTCCATAGCAATCTCTAGAAGGGTTCCAAACCTGATTAAGTCCAAACAAATTTCCCCTGGCCCTAAGTTTACACAGCTCTTACTGCTACTGCCCGAAGCCTACACCTACAGTCTCTTTCCATCACCACATTTAAACAGATCCACTCCAAAGTTATTTTCTCCCCCGAAATAAATTCTAATAATCGACTATAAAGAAGAGAACTATAGTATCTTCAGGTAGTTGGCCCAGCTTTCCCGTTAAATACTGGATCTTGTGTTATGCTCTAGGGAGAGTTCCTGGGGCTGACCCGTGAGCATCGTCAGCATGTTCCCAAATATATAGAGAGCATGCCCGAGAGGGGGTGTGGAGACATGGCCATCCCCAGCCTTTACCACACACGTGGGACTGCCTGTCACAGCTCACTAGTTAAGAGAAGCACAGAAAACCACATGTGGGTCAGGGCTGAAACAAGGCAAATACCAGCGCTTTGCTTTTCTCCCCTCCAGGTTTTGTATCTTTTAAAGGAAATATGCTGTTTTGCTTCTCCTAAACATGCTTGATGTTTAATCAGTTCCTGCTCTCAGGACTCGATATCCGTTCTGTCGAGTGCTGATGCTCGACACTCAATTTTGAGCTTTGCCTCTCACAAAAGCTCTTGCATAGGTTTCTCTGTCCTCCACACTTTCCCTTACTTTCAGTTACAGGCAGTGAGAGGTTACAGTTAGATTCTAACAGTCCTAGGGAGGCCAGATTGTCAGCTGCTGGCAAGGAGGTGCTTTCTGCCTCCTTTGCTTATAACTGAAACAGGATTCAATCTGTAGTTGTAAAAGAAACATAAAAAGCGTTCCTTCCCTTTTAGATTGGTCTATTCCTCAGGAAGTCACATCTCCCATTATTTTTGTTTTGCCCTATTTTTTTTATTTTTATTTTTAGAGACAAGGTCTCACTATGTCACCCAGGCTGGAGTGCAGTGGCATGATCATAGCTCACTACAGCCTCAAACTCCTGGGCTCAAGCAATCCTCCCGCCTCAGCCTCCCAAATAGTTGAGACTACAGGTGTGCACTAATGCACCCAGTTCAATTTCTTAAAACTTGTTTTTCCATCAGCTTGTAGTCTCTTCTTTATGGTCCATGTTATCAGTGATCAGTGAAGGTGTCGAAGCTCCTTTAACTGGTGGCAGTCAGTTACCTTTACTTGCCCTAATGGCAGTTTAGAAAACACATCCAATAACTTCTTCACTACTCCAAATCTTGGGTATCAAGTAATGTTTCCCAAAAGCATAAGGGCTAGAAATGATAAAAAATTTTTTCTCTAAAAATAGAAAACATTACGTGGACACATTGCATGATGGTAAAATAGGCCAAGTGTAGTGGCTTACACCTGTAATCGCAACACTTTGGGAGGCTGAGGCTGGAGGATTGCTTGAGCCCAGGAGTTCAAGACCAGCTGGGCAACATAGCGAGACCCTGTTCCTATAAAAAACTAAAAAATTAGCTGAGCATGGTGGTGTGCGCTTGTGGTCCGAGCTACTGGGGGCTGTAGTGAAGAGGGGGTGGCAGGTGGGAGGATGGCTTGAGCCCGGGTGGTCAAGGCTGCTGTGAGCTATGATCATGCCACTGCATTCCAGCCTGGGTGATATAGCAAGACCCTGTCTCAAATACATAATAAATGAAAAGAAAACAATGCTGTGAGCTTACAGATACTTCAGTGATCCTTGTTTTAGTTCTACTTATCCCATCAAAATGGTGGCATATTCAACCTAAATAATTGACTTTTGGGTTTAGGAACAAGAAATTCCAACACCTGGAAAGAAGAAAAGGATCACAAACAGCAGAGAGCACAAACTGTAGTACTGGGGACTACCACGGAGCTGGTCTTGAAGGCAACCAACACGAAGCCACCGCAGACCCCGCCAGGGGAAGCTGAACACAGAAAGCAGAGTCAGAGCCTTGCAATAGGTCCATGGATCAAGAATTCCCCTTACACTAAGAGCCCTGAGAATCTAGGTAAAGCAGAATGGCTGGAAAGGGGCTTCCTAAGGACTTCTCACATGGGTCTTAGACTTTTTGGGTCACATCCGCTTTGAGAACAGTAAAACCTATGACCCCTTGTCCCAGAAAAATGTACATACCCTCAATTTTGCATGTAATTTCAGAATGCTTATGGAACCTATGAATTTAATCACAGGCTTCTTGGGGGTGCAAGGATCCCCATTTAAATGACCCTCTGTTCTATGGTATTGGGTAGGGGTCTGCTTTATTAGGCCCTCTGAATATGGAGTCTATTCCTCACTAACAATGGTAATATAGCTCTACTTAAAACTTCATTTCCATCATATAAAATACTGGCACCTTTCCCAAGGAAAGGTGGAAAGGTTTGTGTTCAAAACGAGAGAACCAGGCAATGAAACTGGGAGATGTCACAGTACTGCTGTGGCAGCTTCAAGACGTTTGGGACACAGCAATGATTTTTTTTTGTTTTTTGAGACAGGATCTCACTCTGTCACTCAGGCTGGAACGCAGTGGCATAATCATGGCTCACTACAGCCTTGAACTCCTGGGCTGAAGTGAGCCTCCCATCTGAGTCTCCTGAGTAGCTAGGACCTGAGTAACTAGGCACATGCCACCACACCTGACTAAACTTTTTACTTTTTGTAGAGATAGGGTCTCACTGTGTTGCCCAGGCTGGTCTTGATTACTGGGCTCAAGTGATTCTCCTGCCTTAACTTCCCAAAACGTTGAGATTACAGGTATGAGCCACCACACTCAGCACATCAATGACTTTTTAAAATCAGTGACTTTTGAATAAAATTACAGTCAGCATAACAATCTATGGATTTTTTCCCCTTTTATAGGTAAAGAATAAACATGTATAACATGAGGAGAGTTATACAGAGTGCCTGACAAGGCCTTCAACGGAAGGAGGCAGAGGACAGGCCACAGGTAACAGTCAAATAACCAGCAGTATCTCCACCCCACGAAGACCTCCCTGCAGATAAGCAGCAGGAAGGCACCTGTTGTGAGGGGTATAGGAGTGTGGGGGTCCTGCCCTGGGGGTCCCTGCCAGGGCCCTGGTGAGACTGCTTTAAGATGCCTCTTCCATGGAAGAGAGGGTCAGCCTGCTTTGGGCAAATGTGTCCACAGCCACTCTGCCACCTTTCCATAAAGCCTACAGTTGTACATGAGTGACATTTTTGTTTTACCTCTCAATAAAAATGAATTCTCTTCATTTCCAGTCTCTTTATTATCATAATTAACCTCTACTTGGAAAGCAAGCAGTAAAACCTGTTCAGAGAGCGAATCATATTACTTTCAGGCAAACAAGCATGGACGACTTCTACACCTCAAGTTAAAAAAGGCACTGAAAAAGACAGACTCCAGTTCCTGGGAAGGCTGACCCAGTCAGCATTAAAAACAGGATTAATGTATAGCTATCAAGAGAATCATACAGTGGCTTTATTCTTACTACTTAAAAAAAGGTGATGTGAAGGCAGTGATGGTCAACATCACACAGGGAAGACCAGGTCCACACTTTGTCCAGAATCAACTGCTACCACATGAGTCTTCTTGGTTAAGTCATTTGAGCCCACAGTGACAGAATAGGTCCCTGGATATACTTCTATGTAGAGGTCCTTAGAAATGTTCTCAGCCTAGAAGGAAAAGAGGATATTAGCAGTTTAGAGATTTTATACCCCACTGCCACCATGGCCCCCCAGCAGGCTACCTGTGCATGCAGAGGTGTGATGGAATGAAGTGCTAATGTGGGAGACAGGTCCTGCTTTCAAGGCTCAGCCTGCTCACGTACAACACTGTCATTTTGGTAGGTCTCAGCCTTTCCTTATTTCTAGAACTGTGATAATACCTCCCAAATAAGCATGTGAAAATGCTCTGTAAATGCTAAAGTGTTACAGGAACATGAAGGATTATAAAAAGAACACTCTACTTGGAGTTAGGCAGAGGGAAAGGCTAGAGGCCACTGTTTTGGGGATCAGAAGTAGACAGTGGCACTTAGCACAGATGAGCAGTAATGGCAAGGTAATCGGGAGTGATGAGAGCCATTCTTTTAAACTGTGCTTTGCTAAGTTCACTATTAGGAAGTTGATAGGCATTTCTTTTGTCCTAAAGCTCAAAACAATTTGAGTGGATTCCATTTTGTCACTGAAGCAGCAATTCAGCTGGCTGACAAAACTTTCCCTTGGAGGACTGGTTCTCCCAGAGTACAAAGCATTGGAAGCCAGAGTTAATAGAAAGATTTTTATTTAGAGCCGAACTGAGTACAATCAGTCTTCCAAGGGTAGACTTCACTCATGGCTGGGAGGCAGGTTACATCAGGTGTGCAGACAGAGGATGGGTCTCAGTTCAAATGACAAAAGGACAAAGTCACAAACCAGAAAAGAGCCTGTAATTAAGGGCCAGATTGACAGCTGGGATGCCACTACATGTTTGCTTAATGCTGAGACGGGGTCACAGGCAAAAGCTGTAGATTCCACTACCACACACAGGAAAAGCCAAACTACTGGCCAGCAAATTGCACTCAGAGGAATAAATGATCATGTTTACATTTTTATGAAATTTCCTCTATTCCTCCTACCTTGCAGATGGATTTGAAGTCAAGTTTTTCCAAAGCTGTTTAATGTTGTATTCTTGCATGCCTGTCCAGTTACTGCAAAATTGGAAGTCTATAATCCTTTAACTGATGTAAATGTGTATAACAATGTCATTAACTATTTATTGGTTGTCAACCATGTAAATAGAAGTCACTTTTAGAAAATATGGTTGTATCAGAATTGCAGAAAGCCAAGGATGCTTCATTTGCACACAAGGAGACATAGAGGTAAGGTTGGCATGTGGCTGTAGAACTCCAACACCGTGGAACATCAGTATTACCAAAAGTCAGCAAGTGTTGAGAGGCGTCTAAGCCTTAACAACTTATATTTGTACTAGAAGCAGAATATTCTGAATTGTTAATAACTCTAGTATAATCCAAATCCTGACTAGTAGCAAACTGTATACAAACAAAAAGTAAGAAATGTATTGCGGCACCGTGCTGGATGAAGTTCCTTTCCTCAGAATTCTAGCCCTTCCAAGTTCCAAAAAGGATCCCCTGGCTTCATGAACTAATGAGTACTTTACCTTAAAAATGAAAAACTCATTATATGTTTTTACAGAGAAACATTTGTGGAAAATGAGAACAAATGCCTTCAATTGTTGTGGAACCTGATCTCACCAAATGTGTATGTTTCGGAATTTCAGCAATGGTTTTCACTTTGTTAGCAGGAGGATCGTGCCCCTCCTGCTGCTTGAACAGATGGTGGAATTCCAGCAGGACCCAGTGCCAGCTCAGCTGAGCTGTAGGTAGGAACCGAGATGTGAATACTTCACATTCTTTCCAACCACAACTATGAGTTCAGGCACAAAGAGTATCCCTGAAGCTTTGAGTGAAGGAAGAATACCAAGAAAACCCAGTTTTACACTGAACCAAAATTTTGTGCACTCCCTTCTTAGGTGTAAGAACATCTCAACTTAAAAATACTATAGACCCAATTCAAATAGCCCTCTAAGAACCATGTCAACTGGTTCATGGAGTTGTAATGGTGGTGAAACCCAGTGCATAAGCAGTTCTGTACTCACAGGCTGGGATGCCTCTGGAGCACACTCTGATATTTGATAGATGCCTCCAGGACCAAGGGATGTCTTTTTTCTGTCTTTTCTCTGAAGAGACAAGTAGAACACTGATTTGTGCCCAAACTTTCACTTTTGGATTGTAAAGAGAAGTTTTCTTCTACCTTATGAGGAGTTAGTAATTGTTCTGTCAGCTTTTTCTAAGTTGTCATCTAAGTCATTAAGGCATTTTTAAGTGAATTCTGTAAGGTATTTTTAGTCAGATGTTTATTATAATTTTCATCCTTACATGGGCTTTGGAATCAGACACACCTGAGTTTAAGTCCTATCTCTGCTATTTACTAAGAGAGATTAACTTCTCTTGAGCCTTGGTTTTCCAGTCTGTAACATGGGACTCTTGGATTGCAGGGAAAATTTAAAATGCAAAAGTGACACTTAGGCTCTCAATACATTCTCTTCTGTGCTTCTTCTAGGAGTAGGGGTGGTCCTAGAAGGCAACAGGCTGACTGATAAAGCCAATTTCCCTTAGAGGGAACTTACATTTTAAAAGGAGAGTTGGGAATGACTCTTCCCCACAGGTACCTAAGTACACCCTTTAGGGTCAGGTGCACTTAGGTGAGAGTTCAGGCTAGGCCAGAAAAGGGGGCTCAGGACTCAAGCTCTGGCACACCTCCCAGGCCAGGGGAGCTGTGTGGGTGGTGCTTCAAGTGTACACTCAGCCCCTGCTCATGTCCCTGTGTCCACTCTCCAATCCTTGTCCTAAACTTCCTCCCTCTAACACCCCAAAATGGCTGACAGACCAAAGAAGTCAAGAATCCAACTTAGACTCCGGAATCAACTCTGGACTTCAGTTTGCTATCTTTGAGTACAAGCAGGTAGTTTAAAACAAAAGCAAAAACCTAGTCTCCTCAGAAACCACCACCACCACCACCTCCTCCTTTGAATCAGTTCAATAAACAGAATCTTTGGCTTCCCCAGAATGACATGTGGTAAAAGGTAAGTTTGTAGTGAGGGGCCCATAATTGTTACTACCTTTACAAAAAAGTATTTTGTTAAACGAGACCCCCGTCACCACACTTCCCTTGTACTTTCTTTTTAAAAATTATGAAAGACATGGGCCAGGCACGGTGGCTGACGCCTGTAATCCTAGCATTTTGGGAGGCTGAGGCAGGCAGATCACCTGAGATCAGGAGTTCAAGACCAGCCTGGCCAACACAGTGAAACTCTGTCTCTATTAAAAATACAAAAATGGGCCGGACGTGATGGCTCATGCCTGTAATCCCAGCACCTTTGGGAGGCCGAGGTGGGCAGATCACAAGGTCAGGAGATCAAGACCATCCTGGCTAACACGGTGGAAGCCTGTCTCCACTAAAAATACAAAAAATTAGCCAGGCGTGGTGGCTGGCGCCTGTAGTCCCAGCTACTCGGGAGACTGAGGCAGGAGAATGGCATGAACCCGGGAGGTGGAGCTTGCAGTGAACCGAGATTGTGCCACTGCACTCCAGCCTGGGCAATAGAGCGAGACTCCGTCTCAACAACAACAAAAAAACAAAAATACAAAAATTAGCTGGGCGTGGTGGCAGGTGTCCGCAGTCCCAGTTACTTGGGAGGCTGAGGCAGGAGAATTGTCTGAACCTGGGAGGCAGAGGTTGCAGTGAGCCACGATTGTACCACTGCACTCCACATTGGGTGACAGTGAGACTCCCTCTCAAAAAAATAAAATAAAATAAAATAAAAAATTACCAAAGACATGACAGTTATCACCTTACAGTAAAAAATGTAATTATTAAAAATCTTTTCCCCCAGCCTGGACAACATGGCAAAACCCCATCTCTATTAAAAACATTAAAAATTAGCTGGGTGTGGTGGCATGCACCTGTAGTCCCAGCTACTTGGG